GCTTATTTAGGTAAACCTACGTCACAGCGAAGGGATGAAAACCCCATAAATAACCCGTCTACAGCTGCCCTTATTTACACAGCGTGTGTAATTAGCTTTACTTGGTCTGTTTGCTTGTTTGATTGGCGTGGTGTTTGAATGATGCAAATGCCTTCAGGCTACCATATGTCCCTATACATTGAATTTTAAATATTAAAATATTGGTAACCTTTTATGTACACAACAGAATTGAAAATTTTATCTTAGGTTGTAAAAAGAAGAGTGCCTTGAGTGAAACGAATAACATAAACTTGTAAGCAAATTTAATTTAGTATTGCCTATAACTCAACCACAAAACTCTCAGATTAAATAGTTACAATACCTTTTGATGTTACCATCAAACAAACAAAGATAAATAAAAAGCTGTAAAGTCTTAATCATTTGGTTAGTGGAGCGTTCCGCCGGCCGTGAGGGAGTCGCTGTAATTTTAATCAAAAAGAAAAAAGACCGCTGCATTGTGTATCGTAATGAAACGGCGAGACTTTCATGTAACTGTATATATGTATGTGTGTTTAACAATAACAGGGTTATAATGTACCAAGCACGATCACAATAGGATGAGGAACGTTCCTCTGAATGATGATGACGTTGGAAATGCTTTATGTTTTCAATAAGTAAATTAATACTTATTATAAACTTTTTGTAGGGGAGGAAACCTTGAATTAGTTCATATAATATTAATGTATCAATACTTTTAGTATCTGTTTTACAAATACGTATATCTATTCCATGTCATCGACATTTCTTTAATTATATTATTAATATATTATAATTTATTAGTTTGAAATGAGGTATTTCGTTCGATGGCAGCAAAAGTATAACGACCAGATCATAATCACACACATTCACAAAAAGTTATCTCAACAAATTATAATATGTTAATTTATAATTTAATAAGTCTTTTTTACTTAATTAATAAGTTATGTATTAAGGTTTTTTACATCAAATAAATATATGAGAATTAAAGGAACAAAACCCAGCTTAATGCTGCACATGTCTATAGAAAACCGTTTCATTGTTGGAATGTTCATGAGATAACAGCAAATTTCAATTTGGGCAAACCGAGCTAAGAGTCCGTAGGATTAAAAGGACCCGACTAACATGACGTACATTTGGATATGGCATTTTACACATGAACATTTTATTAATGAAGACTTATCTTAAATAGATCTTTAATTATTTAATTTAAATAACAAATACATTTTCTAATAAAATTATCTATTTTTAAAATTAATGCTAATATTTTTCAAAGCAAATAAAACTATGTATAATGAATGTTGTTCAAAACATGTTATATGTATTAGTTCGACTTATCTCATCACCTCTTCTCATTAGCACATAAGTTTCATACGTGTACAAAAGATGTTATAAACGCTTCTATCATATTTCGTACAGCCATTTCACTACACTTGATATGTTAATTCGTTCACTGAATAAATAATTCATTTGTTAAGACGTGTCTCTCAGCGGCATTGTTACCGACGTCATTTCCATTCTTATCTCAATGTATCAAGGTCCATAATGTGACAGTCCCACAGCCGTCGCGTGGTTTATGAGGATAGCGTGAATGAATCATTCTGAAACCGCATCATCAGGTTTTGGATAGCAATTAGAAGCTTTTAATGGAGCTGTCTCAAACTGAATCTTGATATGAAAATAAATAGTTATTTGGTTATTTACATCCCTGTAATTATATTATCAGTATTACACACGAATTAATGAACGATGATATTAACAAAAAAATTGTTGACCCAACTACTAACCTGGAAGTTTTAAGACTATTGATGTTGAAAAGGCAGACTCCATTGACCCAAAAAAAATTTAAAAGCCGGCAAAAGAGGAAATTTCCTGAAAGTAAAATGGCGGCAGGTGACATATTGGCGCGCACTCGAGCACGACGTTGACAGAGCGCGCGGCGACGCGACGCCCATAACTAAACGATCGGATGTTCTTCTATGGAATTTTTACCTTATAAAAGACATTATCCATTAATTACACGTTTAAGGTATTAGGAATGTCTGTTCAATTATAAAGCAGTGGCAAAACAAGCGTATAGGAATAAAGGGGCATGTTGTTTGGTTTTTTCGTGGAGCCCAGCTGAAGACTACAAAATTTTTGCGTAAATTGCTATCAAATATTCTGAACAAGTTAAATATAGAATGAATTCCATTTACAGTGCGTAGTATGAGGAGAATTTATGTTCCTTGCTATTCGGTGTTTCTTCTGCCATTTGTCACGCTGCCGTATTGCTTCTTCATAAATGTTTCATAAGAACATTACAGTATTCACGCGGTCTTTCGGGAGCGCTTAGTTTCTGTTCAGATTCTATTGATGATAGTTTTTTTTTAGGCTTCAATTCTTTAAAATTGTATTTAGCATTAAAACATAACATTTAGTATTTTCGTCTTGTCTATTGCCATTTACCATTGCATCCTTTTTTATTCTATTGTCAAACAATTACGCTTTTTTTACGAAAATTTAAGTTCGAATTGATAAAAAACAAACAAACTTGGAAAAACAGATCAACCAACTACTTTTAGTGATACTATTGATTTAGACTGCGATAAATCGGTGGTAAATTTGAGAGTCAAGAATCAGAAAAGTTTAAATGCCTTTTTCAAAATTTAATCTCATTTTCTAAACTAATTAAATAATAGATACATTCGTAAAAAGTACTAAATTTCCTATAAGTTCCTGTACTATTTATAAGCAATGCTCAAACAATAAAGACTATTGCGAATATTAAGTAAGGAATTAAGGTATATTACGGTGAACATCATTTAATATAAAAATTGCCATAATTTGGTAAAACAGAGCATTTGATAAATTTATAAGGTCATTACATTCTGAGCGTATTTCCCAGAGTTTTGAATTTATTTCCAAGACATTTATAAAAGGTCATTAAGTTCGCTCCATACAAACGGATTAATTCAATAATTCAAAAGCAAGAAAGCGGATAATTTATCCGGTGCAAAAAGTTAGCCGCAATTTACGAGAAGCGACGTTGGCACATACGTTTCAGTTACTTTGATTAACATATGTAAATATTATTAGAATTATTACATTGGATACAGTTTTATTTAACATTTGACATCACTTAATATATTTACACTTTCGAGGGATAACAATATTAGGTCGGAAAATATACTTCTACAGACAAGGTGAAATAGTAAAGATACTTTTGTCAAAAATCTAATTAATTGTTTTTGTGTATTACAATTGATAAAGGACATTTGCTGAAACGATTCTGTCACATTAGCAGCCATAACATTATGTAACAATTATTTTCGAAACCAGTTCATGGAACAAGTTTTCCTAAACAATAATTAATCCGCGGGAATCCTTCAACTTACACCGTTAAATATTTCGTTTAAGCGACGTATTTTTACGTCTTCCCCTGAAATGTTCTGCTTGGTGGAATTGAAGGAATTTCTCATTGAACGTTGCAATACAAAGCTGAACTTGGCGATTTTAAAGAACGACAACACTTTGTGAAGCATGTTTTTAATATCTCCGTAAGGTCTTGTGAATGAAAAAACAAACTATAAGAGGTGTTTGATGTTCACTTGTGAACTAAAACGCGTTTGCCGTTTTGTACTCTGAATGAGAGGTGTCAGTGAATCCAACTGAACAACTATATGGGACGAGATGTATGTTTGTCTCTTGGTACTTGTGCGAGCGTCTCTATCTTAAAATGTCGTAATATATAAACTATTTCACCACCTTGTTTTAACTTATATAAGTACTCTTAATATTTCATAAATAATTTGTATTAAGTAGTATAGTATTTATATTTTACTATTTTTATACGAACTTTTATTTATTTTTGAAAATAAATTTAAAAGTATGTTAAACATTAGTATTAAATTAAAATATCTTATACAAAATTTTCATAAAGTTTATAATTCATTTTCTTCTATTACTAAACTCTTCACAAATAATCAATCAAGTTCTTGAATTTCAATTAATACCCTTTCTAGTTCAACTTCTTTGTTCAATTTTGAAGTTCTTGGACTTTTTCTCATTCTTAAACAGATTTAAATATTCAACTGTAAGTTTCTTCCCTTTAATTGAAGTTAACAAGAATCTCTCCAGCCTTGAGACTAATAGAATAGGCATTTATTTGTCGGTCTTCAATTTGTCATGAATTTAAATGAAACTAATATTATTTGGATTATAGGCTATCCGTATTTTAATTTTTTAAAACTACATACTCCCGACCTATCGGCTACTTTTCAGCAACTGTGATCACGGGCAGACGAGATTTGAATGTCATTTTGTGATGTGTTTTTTTAAAGTAGTAATAGTGTGTCAAATTACATAGAGCTTTCTTTTTCTTATGAAACAAGAGTGCACAAACAGAATAAAAAATATATACTGTATAGTTATGAATTTTACACCTCAAATATGCTAAGAAAGTAATTCGGTTTCCTTTATAATTTCCTTTTTCACTTTCATTATTTTATCATTAAAATATATTACATGTTTAAATAGTAAGTTAATTCAATACTCTTTTTACATTACTCCTCTATTCTCACAACTAGTAAATATTTCAGCCTTCCTAATCTCATTCCCCCATTCTAGAGAGAGGTTCGTTTCTCTGTCAAATGTGCTGTCCATGTGATGGAAAGCCAGTTAACCGCTTGATAAAAGTCACACTCTAAGTAATTATCAAATCAACAATAGTTTTGTTAATTTATCTATGTATAATGTGCTAATATGAGTACTTTTTGTATAACTATATCAGTTTAATTATTATTATTATTTTGTCAAAAACGAATTTCTATATAAAACTACCTAACAAAAAAAGATATAAAATATCATAGGTAGTTTTCAGAACCGGGTCATATGTACATTATTTAAGGAGCAGAGAGAAAAAACTAAATAAAAATATACAACATAACAAAGTTAATATCAATAAAGATGTAACACGTTCGATTGGTTACAATTTGTCCCTTTTATTAAGGTTCTCCACTTCTCCAGCGAGCGAGCTTGAACGCTCTGTCGATAATATCATAACGACGCTCGCCACATTTGTCAACCAGTGGTTTGTAATCATTCATATTTTCTCTATTATTTTCCTCATACAACTGAACTGGATATAAAAAATATAACACATAAAATACAATACGATTGAGATATTGACCGTTGTCGTAATTGTGTTGTACAATTGTAAATCTATTATCTAAATATGAATAAAAAAGCATCAATGTTTTTATGGTACTGTTTTTTATTGTTTCATAAAAATTAAAACACGGAAATTTTTGCTTAATCTGTTATAAAATAACACATGTACTTATCCACGCATCGTGTCTTTCCACAACATGCATATCTGGTGGTGATCTTAAAAAGTAAAATTTTACGGAACTGGATTGGAAATCAAAAAAAAGTAGTTTAGGCTAGGATATTTCTTTAAAGCAATATTTAATAATTGGAATTTTTTTCCTAAATAATCATGATTATTATAAATGAATAAGACCATAGCTGTTCATATATTCATGACATTCATTACATATTTAAAACCATTTTGAAAAATGTTATATTTAGTTAACGTGAAATATCAATATTTATATCTAAAAGATATCTATATAAATGAATTTTCTACTTTATACATCCCTACTTGTGTTAGTAGATGCCACTAAACTGATTACTTTGATGTTGAACTAGTGATGTTGTTAATGTCGATTACACACAAGTATTCCGTTTGACATTATTTAACAGGTGAAGCTATGAGTAAATGTATACAGAGTTTTAATGATACAGGGTAAATTATTTTGTTTAGCAAGAAAGAAACAGAGTAGTTTATAAAAGGAATAACAATAATATTATTTCTATAATCCGCTGCACAGTCCATTCTCTTCATTTACTGGGCGATAATAATCATCCTATAATCAGGATCGATAAACGCAACGACACGTGCTCTTCACTAATGCAAGATGGAAAGCCCTTAGCCTAGTTGTGTAGCGCCTCTCGTCACTCCCTTACCTCTGATACTTTCATACCTCTATACTTCCCAAGGGCTCATGGTATCCTGGTAGATGGAGTAACACTAACAAAAGCCAGCTAAGCTAAGATCCAGACACTTGGCCCTGCGGCGTTATGTTCTAGCCTCTCATTAAGGACTTTAATTCCTTACAGAATAAAACGGATTTGAATTAGGCATCAGTCTGAATATTTTGACCGAAAAATGCAAAAGGATTGGTTTATATACGTCTCACTTTTAAAGAAGAAAAATTTATTAATATTATAATTGCAGTTATCAATCGAGAAAATAAAATAATGACTAAAATATTGGACTATTCATAAGAGTAAACAAGCTTCTTTATTTCTATTTACAAACATTATTTTTAACACAGTGCATAATATGCGGTAAGTGTAAGGTGAATCTGCACAATTAGACTAATTGTACAGTCATACATACAGTACAATGGAGTTTATATATACCTCTTCATTGAGTTTTCTTTTTCTGATATTAACACGGAGTTGTAAGTACAATATTTAATGTCAGTGTACATTATCTTTCATGTAATCTGAGGGAACACGCAACGAAAATAGCAAATATAAAGTAACAATGTTATTTTATTAAGACTATTACGTAATATAATTGAAGCTATAAACACTTACCCTTTTATTGTCTCGAAATTTAAGCCATCCGCTGATGACACTGTTATCAACATCACAACCTTCTCCTTCCATCTCCCTCCTCGCGGGAAGGGGGGAACCACCTGGACTCTCCAGCTCTCTTCGCCTCATCACAGGAGTGCATTGCTGCGACAACCTGCCCTCGTTCACAGCATCGCTTCTTCTTCCCAATACAGGCGTCACATTCGCTGATACTCCACCCAGAAGACCACGCCGACCCAAAAACGGACTCTCCCAAGTAGGTTTTTTGGACCTGCATTCCGAGTGAACACATAATGCGTCAAAGTTGGCAAGTTCAACGGAGACTCTGGTCTGTAAGCCACTAGGATGGGTTGTTAAAATGGTCTGCTTAGCGATACTGCAACCATGACGGTGCAGCTCGTCTCGTCTTTCCATTTTGTTGCGTGTCTTACACCATTAGTCGGTCACGCGATCTGCCCCTTGGGCTCCATTCGTCAATAATCCTGGCGTCATCTGAAAAGAAAGGTACAAGTTAAGCGTAGTCATTACAAGAAATGTTTTCGGGGAATTCAAGTCCATTCGTATTTCTTCCTTCAAATATGGTAAAAAATATATATTCATATTTAAAATCAAAATAAAATGACTTATTTGTCGGTATTAAAGACACAAAACTCTTTAAGCATTCACAAAGTGTTCCAACATTTATTCACCAAAACGGCTCACAGAATAACTTAATTAAATAGAAAGGACCTTTTAAACTGCAATTAAAGACTCTAAAGAACTGTATATTCATTTATATTGGTCTTTATATTTCCCTTGTACCAGAGGGCCTGATAATTGACCGTTTTACAGTCAGAATAGTCTTCTATTGTAATATTTACAGCCCTAGATCTGTCATTGGTTGTACGTTTTATCTTTGAAATGGCGGAATAAAAGTCATTCCGGTAGCGAATGTACCGTGTTAATGAAGTTAGGAATGATAAAGGGTCGAGTGCTTATGAAGAATGATTCTTATATGTGGGACTATTTAATTAGACGATATAGCCTTGCTTGGAATTAATATTTATAAAGGATGTTTAATTTATTGGAGAACATTAAGCGTAATAGGCGAAAGTTACTGTGTATATGTATTAAAAGAATTTCCATAACAATCAATTTTGCAGGTATACGCAGGACATTGTATACATAGTAATGTTTTAACAGTTATTACGTACAAATATATCATCTAGACGAAACAAAGACAAGCATCTTGTATGTATGACAAACGTTTAAGCGTTATTACTGGAAACGATAATCACAGTGATTACTGTCACTATACGTAGGGATGAACAAACACTGCCTTGAGGCTTGTACACACTTCACCATTGGTTCATATATTTACATACATTTCAGATCCGGGAATATGTGATAAATACATGCCTAAATACTTATTATTACAGTTTGTAATCTTGTAATATGAATTATTAATTAATGTTTAGTTATCATTACTTTTTATAGCAATAAAATTTTACTAACCATACAGCAAATAGTGGCTAGATACTATCGGCTATAAACATTTCAATGAAGGAGAATTATTATAAATACATTATAATAAATTTTATCACAATAAAATTAAACTTAGCTTGTATTTTATAAATAAAAACAACAACAATGACGATCGTATAGTCCTTAACTTGTTTAAAACTTTAAAACAAAGGACATTATGACATTAAAAAATCCTTAACAAAAAGAGGAATGTTGAAAACCAAAGTTAAAGCTTGTTCCCAACATGGCTGAACCCTTAGCTGGCTACATGAATAATGTATGGCATATTGTTGGCTCTGTTGTGATGTTTGTCAGTCCGTCCGTCTGTGAGGTCCGAACCAATTGCCGTAACGTGTATCGTAAACGATATTATTTAATCATCGCGCTTGGACACTGTTTTAAATGTAACTCACACACATTACACTTTATATATATTTACATAAAGAATTTCGTTTAGTGTGAATCATTTAAAATGAAGCAAATCCATTAGTTCAATGTCCTCTTATTATTTTTCCAATCTATCACAAACAAGCTGGACCTGTTAACATTTAAAATGATAAGTTAAATTGAACTGAACCCATTCACGATGACGATAATACACAAACTCAATCAAAATTCTTTATTGGATGTTGGATAAATTCGCAAACAAACACCGAATTAACTTGATATCGGATTACACTGTGTTTCGTTTAAAATATACACTGCAAATTGCAATTTCGCGCGGTATCCGTCACTTGTTTATTTGCTTCAAGTGGACATTATACAAAAGGCGATCTGCAAAGAGATTATTGATGAGACTTGTTTGGTGATATGTTTTATAATGAATAAAATATCATTACTATTTCTATACTACTTTGAAGAAAACAATTCAACAAATACCAATAAAAAACGTACAGATACGTTTTCCAAGCTACGCACAAGCACGATCTAGAAATCTGAAAGAGTTGCAATATTAACTCCGCCTTCAGTGAATACATAATAGCGCTATAAATTTTGGCGAAGTCTGTTCGTGTAACACGACGACAACCTCCTCTCGGGTATCAATTCTAATAAACTTATCTCACGTCAAGTACCCATACAAAAGCACCGCTCGATCGAACACTTAAGCCGATAGAAGTTACCAGATTGAAGGCTAGACTCTGTAGCTCTTTGCTCAGCTAGCTTTGTCGTGTCGCAACCGCACGGTCAACTTATAATGGTCGTTGTTACAGTTTTGAAGACTATTTGAAGGCGATAACAAACTTCATAGACCGAGAGGTAAACTGCAGTTTCGGTGTTTTTAATCAAAACAAATTATGATGTAACTAAACCTTACATGACTTTATATCGACGTGCATTATAGTGATGCATACAGTTTATTAAATGAATATTAAATTGGTGTTTGTAATGTGTGTATTAGAACATAATTCAAATTACAATAGAATAATGAGATATTTAAGTCAAATGACATCACAACGTAATCGCTCATATTATTATTTTTTTCAAATAATTATCTTACATTTAAAACTTGATAAATATTTTTTATATATAATATTAAAGAAGCATAAGTAATTTTTATATTTAATTTTAATATATGTAACATTAATATAAGTGCTTAATAATTATTACTATCATTCAATAATAACTAAAAACAAATATTAAGTTGGTCCGACTGAGCGTCACAACATTTATGGTCATTTTACTATTTATATGTAGAATCCGGCAAGGAGCAAGACTGTTTTATATATGTCTGCATGTATGTTTGTAAATAATTAAGCAGAATGAATTACATGTCTATGAAACAAATTTAATTCAATAAAGACTGTATTGAAGAAAAAGTAAAGTACAAAATGTATTACATTGAAGGACAATATAAAAATTATATCTACGAGTATTTGAATAGTAGTGGTTTATTATTATAATTCACAATACTAAGTGATTATCAAAATTATACTTTTTCCACTTTAAATATCTCAGACAAAATTTGTAAAGCAAACGGTGTAGTTATCTTGTGAACTTTATCTAGAGAATTAAACCGGAAAGTTAATTTTAAACTGCGTCTACTTATACAGTTCATAGTTTGATGGAAGAAATGAGTCTAGAATTTTCATATGTATTGAAATTATAAAATGTATATTAATTTTAATGTAATATTTACAACGATAAATATAATAAAAATAAAAATTATAAGCATGCTTCATAATACAAGGGAATGGTTTCGCTTCTTTTGTCAGCAAAACAAGTATTGAAACCCTTTTAATAATAATGGCATTCAAAATGCCACAAATGAGGAGCAAAGTAGTAAACAGTGTAATGGGCAAGGCTGGCTGACTGGCCGTCCTAAACCAATACGATTGTCCGCCTCATTTCATTGCACAGTCACCTTGGATTGCCGCTGGAATAAATATCTTCATTTCTCTTTAAGCTTTTTGAACTGAATACACCATGGGAAAATTCCAATTTAATTGAATTTAAATATTTTTTGTTTCAATATATAAACGTGTATACAATAGATATATAGTGTATAGAATAGAGGCAGGTAAAATATTTCTGCACAGATTGTATAATTTAATTAATAAGCAGTTATTTTTTCTGTTTCTATTATAATATGATGAGTTAATATCTTTGCTATAAACTCGTAATCTAACCCTTTATTTTGCAGTAAATTATCACCACACTAGATTAATTTCGATCAATTGAACCCGAGCCATTATCCAAGCCATAACTATCTCACCACGTTCGAGCTGAGGAGAGCGACCGATTTATACAACTTATCTTTTCAATTATCTCCGCTTCCTTGGTTCCGATGTGTTCGTTACGGTTTTGTGTGTTTTCAGATCGATCTAAATATAAGGATTTCAAAATCGGTCAAACCATACTGACCGATTTTCCCCTCGCGTGGTCCACGCAGCTGTGACTGCTGAACCGAATAATTTACACAGACAACAATCTTATTAATAGAGCGATTTGTTTTGTCTGCTGGTTGTTCTAGCAGTGAATTATTTAAATTATTTATTCCTTACTGTTTTATGATTCATTAATATTAATACGTTATTTAGAATATTAAAACTATCTGTTTAAAACACTTCATAAAACTTGCTCGTGTAATATAAATTCTGTAACAGATTAAACAAAATCTATTTGAATTTAAATTCTTCAGAAACAATTTTGAACTGTTTATATTTCAGTTTGCACGTTCACTAGATGTGTGTTTTGCCAGAAGCCCAAGACGACTATTAACAATTGCTTACAGAACAGTTTTATAAAACGGCCATTTGTTACACTGCAGTTGTAGAATTTAAATTGGATCCGCGGTACATTGGTATAGATGGCGAGTCTGGTCTCATGTAACATTCACAGCCTCCAACAGCCGGCTAAGCCTGCTAGCCGCTCGTTAACACGCTGGATTATATTCGGCTATGTGCAGGACTTTGGCTAGGATTTAGAGACTTTATTTACGTTTAGCCATCCGTGCATGCATAAGTGGAATTGATTACGATGACCTTCATAATGACAGAGCTTAGTAGAACATTATATTTTTAATTCAATGACCTTTTACTTGGCGATATATCATAAAAAATTTAAAGTGCAATATCGAGTCAGTCTATAGACTACTACAGTCTAAATTCAGAACGTCTAATAGATAATATTTCAGAATAATTTCAATTCATATTAAATTTTCTCTTACAAATGTATCGATTATGTCTTATTGAGTTGAAAATAAACTTTGTAAGGGAGCCGAGGTCGGTCGGTAGTTCCTTCGCTAAAACAACTGTTATCGATATGTAAATTGGACAACTTGTCTCGGTTTGATATTATTAAATGTTAATTTTCATCTGCCGAGCTCGTCTACCAGTTTCCACATCCCCTTTACTATAACCATCATTTATTAAACAGTTATTTTCTCGTGTTCTGTATTTTTTCTCTTTCAT